ATTACTAATAACAACGACGTAATGGTACCGACATAATTACTAATAACAACACCGTCATAGTACCGACATAATTACTAATATCCATAACAACACCGTCATAGTACCGACATAATTACTTATAACAACGACGTCATGGTACCGACAGAATTACTAATAACAACACCGTCATAGTACCGACAGAGTTACTTATAGCAACACCGTCATAGTACCGACCTAATTATTAATAACAACACCGTCATAGTACCGACATAATTACTAATAACAACACCGTCATAGTACCGACATAATTACTAATAACCACACCGTCATAGTACCGACATAATTACTAATAACAACACCGTCATAGTACCGACATAATTACTAATAACAACAGCGTCATAGTACCGACATAATTACTAATATCCATAACAACACCGTCATAGTACCGACATAATTACTAATAACAACACTGTCCTAGTACCGACATAATTACTAATAACAACACCGTCATAGTACCGACATAATTACTAATATCCATAACAACACCGTCATAGTACCGACATAATTACTTATAACAACGACGTCATGGTACCGACATAATTACTAATAACAACACCGTCATAGTACCGACATAATTACTTATAACAACGACGTCATGGTACCGACATAATTACTAATAACAACACCGTCATAGTACCGACATAATTACTTATAACAACGACGTCATAGTACCGACATAATTACTTATAACAACACCGTTATTGTGCTGAGAGAAGAGGAGATATTCACAGTAATACACTTTCTTTATTTTCCCAGGTACGTCTCGTCAGTGGAAGTACTAACGATGCACAATGTAGCCGTTCATCATTTATCAATTGTCGCAATATCGCCGCTGGGAACAAAACTATATAGATAAATACATTGGCTCTCCTCTTGCTCATTTAAAATATATATATATATTTAAAAAAAAACCCCCCCCCCCCCCAAAAAAAAAAAAAAAAAAACCATCATGGGATAAGATATCTAGCAGTCATGCATTGTATAAATTGGTATTAACGTATACATTAAAACAATAATATTAATAGATATTTTCCAACAGATATTACTTCGTCAATGGAACACTTAAAACATACTGGTTATAGTGATGTAGAAGTCCGAAAGGTACGGGGAAACCATACCAACCCAAGGAAATAAGGCTTTGTAAGTCATTTTATCTTCAATACCTTTTCAGTAGGTATGTATCCTTACTTACAAAAAAACACACGTATTTCTTTTTAATACAAATTTGTAGTTAGATACAGTAGAACAAAATAATGAATCAAACTATATCAAACAGCTGTTTCGTCCTTCTAGGATCGTTAGTGATGCTAAGGTCCTGAATTTTGAAACCTAGGAGGCCACCGGCAAAAATTCAAAGATCGGACGAAAAGACAAAATCTAGATGGGGAAGTGCACAAGCTTCATAATTGAATAAATTTTTCCATTTTTAGGTACCAGATAATTTTAGAACAACGTTAAGTACATGCTGATGTTCTATAACCTATGCTTAGATAATTTCATGTTTGAAATTATTTATTGCTACTTTAAAAAAAAAAAAAGTTAGCGGATAATTATTCCTTATTGGTTTATTTTTTGAGATTCATATTGCTTTATATAACTCGTATATTATTTATTAAGGACGAAACAGATGTATGACGTGGTTAAATTCATTATCTGACTCTACCACATGTTAATTAAGCCCTTAGTATAATTGAACGTCCAAGAAGGATGAAACAGTTATATGATGCAGTTCGATTTATTAATTACCCACCTCTAAATTATTATCGAATTGTGCTATTAACTTGTAAGTCATTTCTAAATCTTGTAGCGAATTTTCACCTATGAGGTGAAATATCACAATTATTCAAAACGAGATCATGAATATTCTATATATTGCATTTTTCACACCTTTCATGGATGCCAGTTTGAATATGCCGCGCTGTCTATACCTGATTTAGGTACTCTAGTGTCATTACTACTCCGAATATATTGTTTCACACCTAAAGAAATATCTTCAACTTATCAACATTAAGTAGCTAAACACAGAACATGAAACACAAAAATCCAGATTGACAAGTACCAAATGAGTGAAATTTGTTTTTTCATTTTCATTCATTGCAAAGAAGAATACAAGATTTGCTGGTAATCGCCTTTTGCTGGCCAAGTCTACAAATAACGTTTGGCTTTGAAATCATCCGTAAATTAATTTTCAAAACACTATACATCAATCATTTCATAGTTTCTGTCTTTCAGATTATGTTTGCGATAAACAATAATTCACATATAAAATGCTAATTGTTTTAATCTTTTATTAATCGGTAAACATTATATTTTATTGTCAAATATAATTTATTAATTTACTATTTATTTCATTACTCAACATCTTAAAGCGTTCAATTAGTACTTAAAATGCAAGATTGTGATATTTCTTCATTATTATCAACATTGTATATTTACGGCATAAAATTAATTTTCATATACAGTCACATATATTAGATGTTGAACAAAACCGACTGTTTTTTTATTATTAAATATATCAACACTTATCTTTTTTTTCCTTTCAGCACTGTGCGATATCCCTTTAAATGCTTGATATTCATAATTAAAACTCACAGTCGTTTCAATGAGCATTAGAACCGGGTGTTCATCATTCTCTAATCAGATACATGTATGAAACGATACCGGGCCAACTTCTACGCCCAACCACGAGTTATTTTTCTGGCCGATTTCTATCCTCCGAAAAGATAAACACGAATGTATGTGAATTCGTCACGATAATGTGAAATAATAAATGATACGTTTATCATGAATGTTGTATATTACAAAACGAATATTTCACTATTTAATTAAAAAATATTTTATTATTAATTATTTTCATATCGCTTTTCACACATGCTACGATTTGGTATTGCTGCTGAATATTTAACATTTAAAATTAATTTACATTTCGAATTTTATTTTCACTTCTCATTTCGTGTTCCTAACTTGGTTTATGGTGCCTATCTTATTGTTCTATTTACTTTTATTATCTATTTTAAGTATTCATAATTTCACTTTGTTATTTATTATCATTTTTTTTATTCATAATTTCACTTTGTTATTTATTATCATTTTTTATATTCATAATTTCACTTTGTTATTTATTATTTTCCTTAAAACATTTTCATTAAGTTTTCTGTAGTTGTATACTTGTTTTAATGTTGGAAATATTATTTTTAACATTTACAATTACAATTTTTGTTCATCATTTTATGATAAAGAATTCACTTTTATGTTTTTTGTCTCTAAATTCATAATTTATGTTTTCATATCGTTGTTCAAATGTTTAAGATAATTGTTTACTGTATTGTGTTGTCAATTATTTTTGTTTTTGTGCCCATATTGTCGTATATGTATTTTTTCATTAATGTTTATTTATTGTTTAATATGTTCTATTGGTTTATTTTTTCTAGTAAGTATTCCACACGTATTTGTAAAATTTACATATTTAATAGTAAGTTACTATGATGAAGATACCTAATTACATTGATGCGTGTTTCTAAAACCAGTACCAAGTACAAAATATTACAACAGAGTCTGGAGCAAAATATTCAGGAGAGCATAGGACGAAATATGGCTTGGTAACATCTCCTATTTGTCAGTACAAATTATAATTGCCGAAACTCCCAATCCTCTTTCAACACACATATTATGTAACATTTCTTTCTTATCAGCGGCATAAAAACAATCGTGTCGCTGAAATACTGTCATTTGACATTTTTTTAGTTGTCAATTTGGGTAGCAACTTTTGTAAGTTTCTATGAAAAATCTATGTTTCAGTATAATGCAGTACGGCGGTATATACAACATAATAATAATAATATAATTATTGGATACTAGTGGCAAAAATATGCAAAAATCAGAAACATCATAAAATCTGATTTTCAGATGTTCGTTTAAATGTACCTGAATCGATATCATAAACATAAAAAATAAAAACCATAAATTCTGTAGGTAACAGTATTGGCGTCTACAGCCCTACAGTAGCAATACCATGTGAATATGTTACTTGGTAACTGCATCACACGTGTTTGTGGCTCAAAGAACCAAAAGTCTCTTTACATTTTATACTCCCGATAAGATGGACAACGACAGAAATATTTTCGTGAAAACAACAGAATGAAACTAGATCTGATCGTTCAAAGAACAGTGATTCTCAAACGGTCTCATATCCACATGATAATGCATATTGTAAGTCAAGGTGGATGGGTCATTCATACAAGCACGTGTAATTTGTAGCTACAAATTTGACCAAAAACATCTCGTTTGTATATACATGTATTTACTAACTAATAAATGAGTTATTATGACTGTCGATATTTTTAAACATATTCATGTTCCCACTTCTTTGACCAAATATCTAATAGTTTATTTAACAATGTATATCTATTCATGATAACGAGGAATGAATTATATTTTGAAAAGTAAAATGTTTTCGAGGTTGTTAAAGCAGTATTTCGGATAAAATGGACGAATAAAGTCATTCTTGTAAAACCATACATACACACACATCTTATACAATTGTTAATTTCGTAGACACATAAATCTAAACAGATCTATTTCTTCTAATTTTAAAATTCAACGAAACGAATGAAAATATAACATTAACGAAAATTTATGTACAGTGATGATATCAAATAAACAATGATGAGAAGGATACGGCGGTGTCGATTCTAAGGCTTAGTGACATCGGTACTACATAGACAGCGTAGGATTAAATCCAAATGTATAAGTCGGCAAGATACGCGATAAAGTCTGGTAAGAAAAAAACATTTTCAGGTACAAAACACAGTTGGGGATAAAATACAAACTACGGCCACTTCTTAGAGATGTATTGTTAGGTGAAGTGTCGACTTTATGGTGTGAATGTTTAAAATATCGGAAGGTTAAAAACAAATACAAAAAGAAGAGAGCAAAAAGAGCAATGCAGAAAAATCACTTACCTTGATTTCTGTTTTCGTCTACCATGTTGAAAGGTGGTAAGCCCGTTTGTCCTGCGAGTTCGTGACTCAGATAGCTTCCATACGAAGTCTCATTGGGGGGCTGTCCCCGGGGGTACTGGAGCCCCGGAGAACCTTCGTTACGAATGGAGTGGGATGGGGACACATTCTCGTTAGATAGTGGGTAGGAGTACTTTACAGGCGATGAAAGTCCGATGTTAGTATATGTTGCCTCCTGCGAAGGAATTTGCCACTGAGACGACGGCGTCGATGACGAAGGGGGCGATGCTGACGATGAAAGTGCGTATTCATGCGATCGTCCGTGGGGCAAGTACAATGAAGAAAGGGGTGAATGATAGGAGGGATGGTGGATTTCAGAATAGGCCGAAGGATGGGGAAGTGTTACCACGCCTCCAGACGAGCCTAACAGCCCCGGATAAATTGTCTGTGGCGACATAGATGCATTCGTTAACGTGGTCAAATGTCCATTCTCACCAGTTGTATATTGCGAATTGGACAGAGAGACGGAAGTAGCCATTGGTCGCTCCATATTGTCAAAGAATTCCTCAACGTCCTCCTGAGGGAGCAGGACGTTATTTGTGTTGTCGAAAGGTGAATGCAGGGTCGACGAACCGGATATATTGACTAGACCCACTGGTGCGTTAGTCAAATGTAACCCAGTAAAAGATACATGCCCTGTTGATGATAGATTTGTTAAGTGTGTATGTCCTAGATCGTCGTCCTCCCCAACGCGACGTAAACTTCCGTTTTGGGGATACTTCACTATCTGTACTGTTTGTAAAGGTGGAGGTGATCTAGATACTTCCGGTGTCCCTACAGCCTCGATATGACTGATACTCTCCACAGCCTGAGCTGTTTCAGCAGCAGACTCTGGTGTCTGGGTATGGTAAGAAAGAATTACAGTATTGTTGGGGTGATGTGGCTGTTCAGTCACACAGTCGTCCACCCGAGCACACGTATCAGGACACACAGAGCTTGACTCATCTAGACCGTTGGACCCTGTACCTTGATATCCGTACACTGCTTCGTCCTGAAGCTCACACTCACCACCTACTTCCTCTTCAACAACCTCCTCTACTACCTCGTCGATGTTACTTTCTACCTCAACATTTTCCTCTGGTAATGGCACGTGATTTTCCTCTTGAATCGCGTCTTCCTCCTCCTCTTCCTCGTCGTCGTAAGAAGGTTGATTGGCCGGGCTACGAATGATGGCGGGTGGCGAGGGTCCTGGCCAGCTCTCACGAGGCCTAATCTGTGCCATGGCTGGTCGAGATGTTTGTATTTAGCTGAGAGTACTGCCGTAGTATAGGGTGTACTCAAGTCTCGCTGATCTTTGGACGTCCGCCGAGCTGGCTGGGACAGAACAATCTCGTGTAGGTACACACAGCCTGGACGAACTTGTACCTGTGTAGCAGTACCCGGATAGACTGAAAATTCAATAGAAATGATGATTAATTGAAATGTTAGTAAATAAGAAAAATAAGTGATGTCAATATTAATAAACAAATAAACAAAAACAAAAAAAGTGCTGTTCCCATTATAGGTAAGCTATCTTTGTCACAATGTAAATACTTACAGAAAACATTCTGCACTATTTAAAAACAACCTAGAATACAAGATACATAGCCTGTGTATGATTGACTGATATTTTATATACAACAGTAATTATAAACAAACCAAAGAAAAACAAAACCACACACACAAAAACACCAAATAAACAAACATGAATACATATAGATAAATAAAAGATAAATACATAACATTCAAAAGAATAAATACTAGTTATATATCGACAGAAGTACCTGAAACAAGGTTCAATTGATATTGACTGACTATGCCGAAAGATAATTCTTACAACAAAGTACTTTTCACTACAGCTTACACCAATTATGAATGGACAAGTAAAATATCATTCCATCCTTATTTTGAATGAAGGATAAGGAGTAATAATAAAAATTAAAAAAAAACAAAAAAACAAACGAAGGTATTGCAGACAAAATGATAGGAAAGATTTTATCAAAGTAAACATATATCGAAAAAAAATAAATCGTTTATCATTATCTTGGGACAGATTTTGATGAAATTGATTTATCAGCAATAAGAATGTACCATAGGTGACCTGTTATCGTTACTTAGTATGGTTATACGTCTTTATAGAAAACAACATAATACTAGGAAATAATGCTTAGGTAATTATTGTTAGTACAGGTTTTAGTTTTAATTCATCATCTTTGAATGAAAAGCGAATGGTCAAAAACATTTTGAAAACCACGAAGATAACATTTAATTCCTGTATTATTAAGGATCTAATTAAATAATGAATAGAAAACATATATAATATAGAAAAATATCAGTAAACAATAAATCATATTAAAAGATATTAAAGATTAAAACAGATTGAAATAAACAGAATACATTAAATAATATCACCATTGAAAATGACTGATTATGCACGAGGAGAATCCTTATGATAATACACTATCTACCACAGTCGACCACAAAGTAAGAACGAACAATATAGATTATCATCCATTCCTGATTTTAAATAGATGACAAGAAAATTTTGCCAAAACTGAAATCAGTGTATTAAAGAATTGTAATTCTTTTTATATAGATCATTATCAGCAATATTCCATGAGTGAACAAATTAGACGCCAAACATGATAGATAAGAAACAATCCTGATAACATGGAAAATAAACGAATAAATAAATAAATATATGAAAATAAATAAATAAATGGTTTTATTTCATACTCTCTTTGCCATTTGTTAAAACAAAGATATATTTCCCATTGTGCCCAACTTTGACAGTATTGTCCAATACGATATGTAAATATTCCCCTCCCCTCATATAAAAATTAGGATAAAAAAATAAACTATAAACTATGTATAACGTGTTATTTATTTCTGCTTTTTTAACCGAAACCTAAAGTACTAAACAATTCTATCGTATAAAGTATAAACGGTTTGAATGAAAATACAAAAAAACTTGAATATGTCTACTAAACTGAACATCAAAACAATATTCAAACAAACAACTATAGAGTCTAGAGCGGAATACACGGTAATGGCAGTAAATATTTATTAAACTACAAATAAATATCCACGGTCTACACGAAATTAGTTCGAGAAAATCGCTGCTATGATCAAATTAATATCCACGGTCTACACGAAATTAATTGCGAAAATCGCTAATACCCTTACATGATCAAATTAATATCCACGGTCTACACGAAATTAATTGCGAAAATCGCTACTACCCTGACACGATCAAAATAGTAATAGACCAGTTATATCCCGAATGTTAAATAGTCGATGACATAAAAACATCATTTTGAAAAAACAATATAACAAAGAGTTTTTTTCACATTTCAAATCAAAATGAAACATGTTAAGAATAATAGACAATTGCATATTTGGAAACCACTTAACAAGAAAATGAAATGTAATTGCTTGAAATACAGAATGCCTGTTTTCCCATTAATCCTTCGCAAGGGATTTGTCTTAATTCTTCAAATTGGCAAGTATACTTTTTTCTAAGAATTTGGACAAGAAAATGAATGTATTATGATCATGTAATGAATATCAAATGAAGAAGAGAGCAGTGTTGCGTTTTTACTTATATATTTAACAAAAATTTTCTTATCGAACAGAAGATGAGAAAACAATGTATATTTATAAATCTTTTTAATGTATATGAAGTACATGGTACTGGAATAAAACGATAAAAGTTATTTGATATAAAAAAACATAATTTTCTACAATCTTTAAACATAAATATCAAAAGTGTCACATTATCTAATAGTCGAAATATCAATGATGTACCTTATTATAAACAAGAGGATGAAGATGAAAGAGGTGGCTACATATCGCAGATATATTTTATCATGATGTGCTGCTATATACGCCGTCATATTACTAACTATCCTAATCCTCGGTAATGTTGGAGAATCTAACACCTGACTAAAAAATGAGAGACGACTTTTTCAAAAACGACATCAAAATATTTCTTGTATACATTCATAAAATATCGTACGAAAGACAAGCACGTTAATAGCACATTTAAATATAACTTAGAAGTAGACACTGTAGGACCAGATAATAAATTGAAGTGCATCATATATCACTTTTATATCAGTGTCGTCTTTTACACCAAAACATCTTGATCTAGCTGATATCCACGGAAATATGTTATTTGTGTTATATATGTGAACAAATCGATGTCAATTTATACATAAGCAACATGGAGATGATTATGGCCGATCCGACACTTCAGGTACACCTCAATTTGCGACGAAATATTTACAAATCACTTTTACTGCTTATTTAATGGTTTTACAGCAGTATTTCCTCGTATAAAGGACGATTTCGTGTATTAAGGTTGTAAGGGGGCGGAGCGGTAGTATTAACAGCTGTAAAAATCTAAAATATTTTTCTCGTATCACCAAAATTATTACAGGTTATATCAGGACAACTTATTATGTAATCAAGGCATGCGAAGAAGAATTAAAACTAAAAGACAATGAAAACAATCTGATATCTTATTGAAGAGAATTTTCTTATATATATCGTTCTTTTGCAATTATTATTTACAGCATAATTTATAATGTTTTATAAAACACAACACCAAAATACTTCAAACCAAATAAATATTTACGCTTCAATGAGGGGAAAATGCTGATTTTGAAAATATACAGCTCCTACGCTCTTAGACAGCATATGGTTCTGAATACATAATGACATTCTTCAAATGAGTGATAAATTAACATATGATTATAATAATCAAGATGTAATATCTAGCCTAAATCATTATATCATCGGTTAAACACATTCTAAACAATCTTTTCTGGTATAAATTGAAGTTATTAACACAAACAATTCGTTATGGTAGCACGGTGGAGGGAATCAAATAGTTTTGGCAGGTTCTATCCGTTACATACCTGGTGGCCAAACTCCCAGGAATCCTATCAAAACTCACTCAATAGACCTTTAGTATCTCCAAAACACTTAAATGTTCTTGCAAAACAGAAGCTGAAATCCTAAAGAACAAAGCCACTACAAAATTCTGCATGTATGCGTTTCTCTCGACCTAAATGTTTCCAACAGGTAGCTAGAGTTGACCTGTTAGTGTTGGACCCAGCCCTACCGCGTCATACGGTACCGAACGGCTGTCACAATGCTCGTTTTTACCTGTACGAGTGCTTACCTGAGCCAATGCATAATGCTGAGAGAACGGTGGGTTAGGGGCTACAATGTCACAGCTTACACAATGAACAAAGGCGTCAAAACACCACCCAAAAGGTTTAGCTAAACTTTCCGAATGGGTCTACACTTGGTTCACCAATACGAATACCATGTGATTGCTTGCAACCAGATCTCAATTGGGCGAAACTCCAGAAAATTTATAATGGCATAAAATGCTTTGAGTAATATCTTTTTCAAAAGTTTTTGAATTAAGAATATATTTCAAGAGGAAAACATACTTTAGAACAACCTTCCTTGAGTATTTCATAGCGAATTCATATTTGTGAAAACAGATTAATGAAAACAAAATGCCAATGATGTCAAATAGTTGCAGGAAACCCAAAATGTTCCTTTGAAACAAAGACTCGTTTACGTAGAATCCTGCCATATGAATCCAATCCAAACTTTCAAAAGTAATATCACAGAATTATCACCGGTATTTAAAAAAACTAAGATTTCCTCCAGATAATTTGATGAAGATTCAAAACAAATCAAATGTGATCATGTCAAGACCGTGCGAGATTGTGTTCAGCTAGTGCCACAGAGACAAGTTAAACCTGGAACGATAAAGTTTTATCACCGATAGCGTATATGCAGTTTGAGGACCGGAGCAAACCTTCCCGATAGCTCAGTACAGTCGGTGACTGAGCGACATATTGACATGTTGGTTGTAAACTGCGATAAATCAGAGGCGGCCACAAGCACTCTGGAGAATGTCCATTACCATGTCCTCTGATAAAGACTCACCAAATATTATTATCAGTGATAACATCGGAACTGGCGAACGTTCTACCCTAGTCCTTACCTTCACCGCACACACAGATAGCAAAGATACGTGGAAAGTTCTTCCAGAAAAAAAGACGTACTGGAATAAGGTTATGTACAGATTTATGAATAATTTACCATTCAACCTTTGACCTGTCTGGGTTAAACTTATTTGCATAATATGGCTACTGCATATTATGGCAGTATCGTAAGTCTGAGTGCCGTATCTCAGTTCTGCTGGACAACTCAAAA